TTTGTATTACTTACCGTTTTCAAGTTATAAATTGTGCAGGTATGAAAAATCCAATAGAGCGGTTTTGGGCAGTTCAAGTACACATTTGCAGTGCACATTTCAATGTACGTTTTTACTATTTTTTATTCAATCATGAAAAAAAATAAAACTAAAACTCTTTTTTTTTATTTTATTTTTCATTTTTTTTTGTTTTTCAATCATGAAAAAAAATAAAAAATAGTAATTATATTAGAAAAAAAACAATACCTACTTATTTGTTTCTTAGGTTTTCACGCACATCACTCATTAAATAAAACTAGTTTTTACGGGTTAATGCACGAAACTTTATTTATTTATTGACGTTTCGTAGCCTTTACAGGCTTCGTCGTCAGAAACGTATTCTGTATATACCTACCTATATACCTACTTATTTATCCAGTTACTTATTATTAGAACCACAACAAAAATACGCTAAGGGTCTTTTTATAAATGGCTTTTCTGCATATCTTAATAATAAGTGACTCTTTTTTATTTCTCTATGCTTCAAAATATCCGCTTTCACCACAGAAAATAATCTTATGCTTCAGTAAAATAGGTGTTAGTTTATTAAATTATATTTTGTTTCCAATCTGTCTATATTTATTTGGGTAGGGAACGAAATGTTTTTCCTAACTGAGGATTTTTTAACTTGTTATCCCCCGCACACTCCCCGAAGTATTGATGCGCGAGCAAAGTAAAACGTGTTTTCAGTTAAGGAACGTGGGATTATGGTTATTTAGTTAAGGATGGATAATCAAGTATTCAATACTGCAATTGCTTCAAAATACTTTGCAAGAAAAGCAGATAACGTTTTTCTTGCAAAGTATTTTGAATCTGTGAAGACTCTTACAACCAGGCGTACTATTATTGAATAAATTGGCTTAACGAAATGTATATTTAGAAACGAAAGTTGACTTAGTATAAATAAAATGACATAAAGACTTATAATTTGTATAATCTTATATATAAAGACAATTTTTCTTGTTTTTAATTTTTATGACACATCATACAAAATACATACAACCCTAAATTTTCATCCTTCTACCACTAACCCCTATTTTTATGGCAGTACGAAGTTCGCTGAGACAGCCAGTATTATAATAAAATTAAGATGACATTCATGTCGTTGGCAAAATAGACGAACTAAATCAATATTACCGCCAAAATGTGTCTACTTTAATAAAGGACATAGCTCGTTCCCCATACACTGACTGCCCCAGAACGCACAGCAATGAGAAAATGCTAGTTGTGTTAAGATTCTTTCATAAACTCTCATTAGACATTTGTTGAAATACGGACAACTTGAGGAACCGTGGCCTACTACAGAATGTATTAGATTTTGAGAGTATAATTATTATACTTAATCGTTAACGATGTACACTTTATATCTTTTTAATAGATTTATTGTTTACCTCTATGTAAGCACTTAAATAATATGAATTAAATAAACATAAAATGCAATTAATAATAAAAATAATAAATGCTTATATTCATATTTATTTGAGTGTTGGCATTTGGCACCTATGATACTTATACCTACCTGTGTAATAATAGATTTCTTTTCAAATGAAATGTTCAAAGACTTTCCATTTACCTATTTCTATATTTTATTAATGGTAATAAGGTATGTAGGTTATTATTATGATTTTCATAAAAATAAACAGATATTTTATGGGATGAGAGTATACTATCTTTACATAATTTCAGAAATTATCTATCTATAAATATAATGTAAATACTAATGATAAGTATTATTAACGAAGGAGTGTAGGTACGTAGTACTATTCTTATGTTGATAAATACCTACGGTCGCGTATATTGCATTTATGAAGGCTATCTATTAAAATGGAATAGAATTGAATTAAAAAAAACACTTTTATTTGAAAAATATTTTTGAACCTTATTGGCGAAAGCTTTTGAATTTAGATGAGACAGTCTCTTAAGGCTAAAGATGACATGACAGCAAATTGTCTAGTATCTAGTTACAGAACTTTTAATTTTTACAAGTATTTTCCTGTGTAAGAATAATATTTTAAAAATTAATCTATCTACATAAATCGGGCCAGTAATTATTTATTTAATTCTGCCAGCAATCAAGCAGTCATGTCACACCGGAGCGCGCCGCAGTAATCAAGCAAGCGTGTTCTCGTGTGCACACCCCTGACATTAATTGAGTGATTAATTAATTAACTTCATCTATACCAGCCTAGGTTTAGTCTTAGTAGTACGACTGACTATTTTCGCAACTCGAAACCATGTGTCTATTTTGAGGAATGGCATCAGTCCTGCCATCTCAGCTCCTCCGAAAAGCCCAGCAGTTCCCGGATGTTGCTGCAGGTTTCTACGTATCCGTGAATTTCCCAGTAGGGAAGTTCTTTGTCTGACAACGCTTCTACAGTCCAGCAAAACGTGGGCGTTCGTCTCTTCCTCCTCCAGGCAGGCTCTGCGCAGAGGGCTATCAGACATACCTATATTACAAGGGTGTTTCTTGATAAAGCCATGACCCGTGAATATGCATACTATTGACCTAGTATATACCAGCCTAATCTTTGTTTTTAGAACTTACTAGAGAAATAAAAAAGCTCTCACTTCATTTAATCGTAAGAAGAGGTCTTCATTTATGCTAATGGAAACTTTTATTGGACTGCCTTGTTCAAGGCTTCCCAGTGTTATCATAAATTTCTGTGAAAGCCGACCAAGACAAACCAGACTAGACTAGTAAGTTTCTAAGACTTAAGATCGCATCGTACAAAGGTTAATTTTTAAATACAGCGATTTTCAAATTTGAGGAAAACCGTGGTATGTTGCCTCATTTTAATTCTAAACTTTCTTTTTTTTAGTAAAGTGACAGAGTTTTTTCATTCAGCTAACAAGGATATGGCCCATTGACACCCTTGGGCGCGGAATCCTGAAGACGAGCTTCTAGTAAAATGCTAATGCATTTTTGATTGGTTTTGTAAATCCTGGATAGGTCATGGAGTTGCTCATGAAGCTATCCGATATCCGACCAGCACAGACTCGACTTTCGGCGTCCATTCACTGTCGGAAGGTGATGTTTCCGGAGCGAGTCAAAATACTTGTGGACGTTGCGTAGTCTTTTTGCCTGTCGTGTGCGTTAGCAGTATTCTATTTGCTTCATCCTTTCGTTCACGGCGAAATTGTCCTGCCCACTCATCCTCACACACACATCTACATCGTGCTTTAGAATGCGCAAACAAACCAAGACATGCTTGCGAGCTGTGGATTGTTAGTAGTCAACTTACAAGCAAAGTGATCCGAAGTTGATGTAATGAGCGTATATTTATAGCAGTCCATTAAACAATATAACCACGAGAAACGCCGCGATACTGGTCGAGTGCCGGGTGGCTCTAATCAGCGATGGTCTTAATACATTAGGGACACGTACTTATGATGCAGTTTTGTGCGAATTTTAATAAAAATGAGTACATTTAGAGTAGTAGACAGTAGAAATTGAGTGCGCACACACCATCTGTTTACTTGCGTCAAATAGGCACATTGTTTTCGTACTATTCGGGAACAGATAAAATTCACAGAAAAACATATCCAAAGTGCAAGCCCTGTCGCGCTATCACAGGAAGTGCAGTAGACAGCATGCTTTTGTGAACAAGTTCATTTCACAAAACGCAACAGAGAAAAAATGACCCAGAGATAGTCAGATTCGCACATCCGTTCCGTTACGTCCGTTCCTAAGTAAAATGTTATAAAATCTAAAACGACTAATTTAAATTAGATTTTGAATCGAATTTTAAGCATATATAATGCCTAAATTTCAAATTAAAAAAAAAATCTTAATCAAACTTTTATTATTTGATCATAAGAATAATTTCCTATTGATTACATTTGCACTTGCACCTTTTTACACTTATCACGCACAATTCCCACTGTTCTCCTGTCTCCCTTGGTCTTGCAATGTCAGCATCCAGCAGCTTACAGATCGTCAGTTCACCTGATAGGAGGCCTACCCGCTGATTTTACGTCTACTCTATTACTAAGCAACAAGAAAAATATTTTAGTATCTATAGTACCATATTGGTTAGTGTTGAGTAGGACTTACAAGAGGCGGTACATTTGTCCCGGACATGACGCCAAATTGTAAGAGCGGCTCAAAATTTTAAAATGTACTACTTCACATTAAATGTCGCGATAGTCGCGTCTCATTACTCACTCACTCTTCGTAAGTCTGAGAGAGAGAGCGAGGCGTGACATTTCATTTACGTCCTTTACGCACTATCCATCTGTATCTCTATCTGTTTTACGTGTATAGCGCTGTCCTGCATGCTGGATCCAGCAAGATTGATAGTGCGTAGAGGAGGTGCTACTCGTGCACACAAACGTAATGTCGAGCTTCTGTACGCCTCGCCTCATTTGAAGTGGGACATTGTACTGGTTCAGTACAAAAAAGAGGCTACTCTTACAAACTCTTTTTCAAGTCGTGTCCTACCCAACACTAATATTGGTATTACGAAAATAAAGCCTTTTCAACATGTTCCTGTTGCCGAGCGTAAATAGGTTCGTCGCTGATGTGTCCATTATACTAAGCACTCGTGTATGCTTAAAAGTTATCTGAAATACAATTATTATCAGAAGTTGCCAGAAATACGACAATTTGAAAATAATTACCAATATCAATGTGATTGCTAACGATACCATCAAATGTAAAACTTTTTCCACTTAAAGGCAGCAATTACAATAATTATTAGATGCATACATAATTGTCTATATGACACTTATCGCGTCATATATCGCAATGGGGCTAATTGTTCCTGAATAAAAAACGATCTTCTACATTATTATATAAATTATTGAGTAGCAACCAAACTTTTAATTAGGAGTTCGACAGCAAATTATGCTGCTTTGTATAAAATATATAATTACTTATTCCATACTCTGGAGGTTTAAATAACGTTACTTGAGAGACTCCTTGGCACTTGCGGGAAAACATTGAGTTGTGTCTCACTCACATGCGGAAAACAAAAGAGATTCTAAGAATTTTCTGCAAATATGTGTACTATGCGGGCGCCGGCAACTGCTGGTACGAAAATATTTATGAGGAAACGTTGCTTTACAAGTTTTACACGTGTACATCATTCACGGTATACACCACAATGATATTTCTTGAAAACTTGGCGGCTCTCATCGGTGAATTCCCGGAAGTAGAAAAAAATTCTGCTGTCATGTTTTTTGCTATCCACAACATTGTGCTCACAAAAATGTTGCTTCTGCTGTACCACAAGAAATCTATACGGAAATTGAATTACGAAATGGCTATGGTTGGACAAGAGTTTGAAGAGAGCTGGAATATGAGAAGGCAACAATTAAAAGTATGGGGTGGTATTATTGCGTACGTAATATCAGTGTACTTGTCTCTTATCGCGTATGGAGTTGCGAGTACTAAGAGGGTTTTAGAAGAGGGTAAGTACGTATGACTTTCACACCTCCTATGTTATGGACAGGTTTTTGCAAGCAATACTTTTTTAAAAATATTACCTTATTCCACACCTGATGTAAAGTGTAAGGGGAGTCCAAGTACGAAGATGTGCGTAAAAAATACACTTAACGTCAGAGCGTGAATGTAGTCAAAGAACACAATGCGCGAGTGATACTCTGATATATTTTTAACACGCTTTTATGTGTTTCATCTGTATGTTTGTTTGTATATAAGTAACTGACTTGTTTGGACTCGATTTTGCCCAAATTTTACCAATTAGATTTACTTTAAACTTGGCAAAGATATGTAGATTAGATGACAATACAATATTATGGCACCACCGAGCTGATCTGATGATGGGACTGGAAGGTGGCTGATGGAACCTTGGACTGCCTACTAGTAAATATATCGAGTTTGGGCTCATTAGATTCGTCTTATACATTCTATTTGTTTCTCCTGATGAAGAGGACCTGATAATAGACTGGAAGGTGGCTGATGGACCCTGGACTGCCTACTAGTAAAAGAATCGAGTATGGGCTCATGAAATTCATCTTAAAACATAATAAAACTTGGCAATTATATGCAGATTAAATGACAATACAATAATATTGTACCATCGAGCTGATCTGATCATGGGACTGGAAGATGGCTGATGGAACCTTGGACTGTCTACTAGTAAACATATCGAGTTTGGGCTCATTAGATTCGTCTTAACACATTCTGTTCATTTCTCCTGATGACGAGGACCTGATGATGGACTGGAAGGTGGCTGATGAACCCGGGACTGCCTACAAGTGAACAAATCGAATTTGGGCTCATTACATTAGTTAATATATTCTGTTTATTTCACGTTAAGGGGGGGGGTAATAAAAAAGTCTTGCAATAGTGAAGCCTTATCGGAAATGAAGAGGATACGTATTCAGTCGCAATAAACTCGTTCATGTTTTGTAATTAACTAAAAAGAGAAAAATAAATTAATAGTTTAAAAAAATTAAAACACGCTTTTATCGGCATCGCATTTGTGATCCGTCAGCTCGTATGCCTATAATATATAAAAAAATAGTTAAAAAAACTAAAAACACGCTTTTACTTACTGCATTAAAAAGTCAAAAATAAACAAAATATACTCCGTTTACTTCATTAGAGCTTTAGAGTAAGCCTTGTTTATAGTTGATATTAAGATATGTATATAATTGAAAAAAGCGTAGGGCGCTTCATTATTTGGGAGGTCCGGATCCATCATTGCACAGGCCTCTGTACAGTCACTGGTGGAGTCACGGAGGTATCCGAAAGGGTTCCCGTGGCCTCACCCAGTGCCGTTTCCTCACTGGGCGGAGTGCCGCCAGATGGTGAATCATTCACCCGAGGAAGACATGGCCCGTCGGTGAGGGGCATCGTTAGGTTTTTAGTGGGTAGGGACCCCCTCCTCTCGGGCAGCCGCTAAGCCAACCCTTGGACTGGCTAAGCGGGTGGGCGAGATGAGGAGCGGAGGAGTCCCACATAATCCTCTTCTTTCTGCTATAACACATATAATGAATTCTTCTCTTGAAACCGGCACTTTTCCTATGCTATGGCGAAAAGCTTATGTACGGCCTCTTCCCAAAGTCTCCAATCCAACACAGCCACATGAATTTCGGCCAATTTCTATCCTCCCCTTCATGTCAAAAGTACTAGAGGCCTGCGTTCACAAACAATTATCTCAATTTGTCCACAAAAATTCACTGATGAACCCCCTCCAATCCGGATTTAGGCCAGGACATAGCACAGTTTCAGCTCTCTTAAAGGTGACTGGCGATATTGGGGCGGGAATGGAGAACGGTAAAGTAACATGTTTAGTACTTATCGATTTCTCCAATGCTTTTAATACAGTCAGTCACGATATTCTCCTTTCTATACTATCTCATCTTATGGTCTCTGACGATGTGTTGACTTGGTTCTCTTCTTATCTTCGGGACCGCCAGCAGTTGGTCCGGTCTGGGGAATCTTCCTCATCCTGGCGCAACCTGGAAACTGGTGTTCCCCAAGGCGGTATTCTCTCTCCTCTTCTTTTTTCTACTTTTATTGATTTTATCACTCACAATCTTCAGTGTTCGTATCATCTATATGCTGATGACTTACAATTATATACCGAAGCAAGCATCGACAATTTAAACGAAGCCATTGATGCTCTAAACAGTGACCTAGTTGCTATTAAAACCTGGTCGGAAAAATTCGGGGTCACTGTCAATGCTTCAAAATGCCAAGCCATTTTATTAGGGGGGTCAAGGATGATGAGCAAAATTGACATCAACAGTCTTGGTTCCATCATTCATGACGGCACTAAAATACCTTTTTGCAACGTCGTTAAAGATCTAGGCTTGTATATCGACTCGAGTTTTAAATGGCAGGACCAAGTTAGTAGTGTCTGTAAAAAAGTAACGGGAACCCTGCGTGCCCTTTATCGAATGAAAAATTTTTTGCCGGTCAATATCAAGGCAATGCTTGTGCAAACCTTAATATTTCCCATAATCGACTATGGTGATTTGTGCTACTTCGACCTGAATGCAGATCTACTCAACAAACTTGATCGTCTTCAGAATAACTGCATTCGATTCGTTTTCAATCTGAGAAAATATGACCATGTTTCCGCATACCGATCTCACTTAAAATGGATGCCCATTAGGCAGCGCAGAACTATGCGGGCTCTGACCACCCTGTTCTCTTTGCTAGATTCTCCAAATGCTCCCCCTTATCTCACTTCTCAATTTCAGTACTTATGTACCTCTCATAGTAAAAATCTTCGATCTTCTTCTAATCGTTTACTTATCGTTCCATCACACTGCTCCGATATTATTCACTCTTCCTTCTTCGTAAAAACGATACTTTTGTGGAATGATCTCCCGCTAGATATCAGAATGTCCCCCAGTAAATATACCTTTAAAACCAAACTGCGAAGCTTTTTATTAGAACAGGCGTTTCATTGAGTGGTTTGTCGTCATTATTTTGTATTTATTTTGGAAGTATGTATGTATTTGTGTATCTATTTAAATGTATTAACTTATGTATGTGTATGTTTATATATTATTATTTTTATAAACTTTCTTTCCATGTGATTTCCACTTCAGTTGTGCACCCTACCACTAATAATCTCCACAACATCCTATGGTTGACTGGTAGAGAATGCCTACGGCATTAAGTCCGCCATTGTACATTTGTGCATAAAGAATAAATAAATAAATAAATAAATAAATAACCTCGCCGCACTCTCAAGGCGGTGGGGTATGCGTAACGCATTTTCCTGACGGAAAAAAAGGGCGCTTCATTATTAAATTTCAACTGAATTGAACATTATGCATCACGTAATATATTAATTGATTTGATAAATATTACAATTAGGGCACCTGCCCTCGTCCAAAGATGAGAAAAGTACTCCATGTGAGGCCAGAACTGGGCTTTATAAAGTTGTAGTAGGTGAGCCGGTGTGAAGTAACCCCTCGATCTATTGAGCACACCAAGCTTCTTGGAAGCTAATTTTACTTTGCCCTCCAGATGTATTGTATCCGTGCGGTGACGGAGAAAGAATACTACTCACCGCTCCTTCTCTTCCCATGGATAGAAGGGTGGGGGGTGTTGGGGGGTATAGGGGGGTGTTCGCCCGGTACTTAAATGAACCTTGTATAGAGCTACGTGTGTATACCGGGTTTTCGCTAGTGTACCTGTTTGCTAATACACTAAGTTGCAGTATTTTTGTGGGCCTAAGGATTAGGTCAGCTGCTCAGCTGGTTTGTTACCACCGTGCGCATGGTGAAAAACCCGTGCTTCTCGCGCGTTTCGGGGTCAGCCAGCGCACAACCAGAGCTCGAGTGGGGCTTGACGTGACAGATTCGGTCCAGGGGAGGCATCCGTCGAACCGATGCCGGGAGGACTGCATCGACCGTAGAAACGGTTGTCCCGCTGGCCGCCCGTGGCCGCACAGCACAGGGGCCCGAGCGTTCCTAACCAGTTCGCGAGGCTGCTCCATCATGGTTGGTGACCGGGGCGTGGGGTCCCGGCGGCCACTTCCGGGGCGGTGCGGGGGCCCTTCCGTCCAGTGGGTCGGCGTATATCCTCTGCAGGCAATCACTCGGGGAAACAAACCTCCCTATTTTGCCCGGTCCTGTCGGGACAACGTCCGCTCGTTTCACGTCTCTTTTTCACCTCCATCATGGCAGCCCTTAAAACAAAGTTTGGACGTACAGCGGTGCACACCCCCACGCCTTCAACGCTGTTTGAGGCCGAGTTCTGCTGGGGATACACGTCGACTCTGGTCTCCTGGCCAGTGTCAACGTGTGTCTCTTCAGATCCCACACTGGCGATGTTGAGACAACTCGACTTTTTGATCACCTTAGTCGGGCAGCAGATGACGCGCAGAAACAATATCCCAATGCAGAATTGGTGTTTGTTTTTGGGGGACTTTAATGTTCACCACAATATGTGGTTAAGTTCCTCCAAAACCGTGCCATGCAGGGATCTCTGCTCACACATTCGCTCTCACGCATGACTTGAAGCTACTGGTTGATCAGTCCACCAGGATCCCAGATATTCCAATTCAAGCGCCTTCTTTACTGGACCTTCTGCTCACGATCCATCCACAGGGCTATCAGGTTGTGGTAAGAGCCCCCCTGGGCTCGTCAGATCACTGCCTGATATCTGCCAAAGCACCACAGGCTAAGCCCCGGCGTCCAGCAGTGGTCAAGCGCCGTATCTGGCACTATGGGTCGGCAGATTGGGACAGTATGTGTGACTACTTTGCGTCCGTCCCTTGGAAGCAGCGCCACTTTAGTGACAGGGACCTATCGGCCAGTGCCATTGCCATTACTGAGGAGATTATAATGGGTATGGAATACTATATTCCTCATTCTGATCTCATAAGTAAGGGCACAGGTAACCTCTGGTTCAATCACGACTGTGCTGAAGCTGCTTTGCGTAAGAAAGCGGCATATCGTTCTTGGATCAGAGGCCGCGC